GGTTTTCTTCGTTTTTTATTGTTTTATCATTTATAAAGATTAAAAAAATTTTGGACAATTTATTTTCCCCGTTTACCCACATGGAATGCGGCAACACCACCTAGCCCAGGCATGGGGTTAAGTAAGAGATTATCCATATTATAATAATATGTTGTGAATGCCAGTGTTTACAACTTGAATATAATTTACGTTTTGCTATTATGTTAAATAAAGTGTCAAAGTATACAACTATCTCATGAGCCTATTTAGTATATGTCAACTATTGAAATTTGAATGTTTTTAATGTCTTGTAAAATTTTTGGAAGGGCTAGTAACTATTTGGTTCTATTATCCTGGCTGGCTACCTGAAAAAGGAGAATTTCTACCTTGATCATCATCATCATAACTACCCCTAGCTGTCACATTCTTGACCTATACCTGGTCTGGTTGGGTTCAGGTTATGTGTGTATTTGTCCCTCAATCCACTACACTAACACAATCAAGGAACACTAACCAAAAACACTCAAAAATTCACTAACCTGGAGACTTGAGATGTTTTGCTGGGATGCCTGCATCACTGTCTGAGGTTCTCGTCTTTGGTGTATTGGGGAGTTTGCATGTCTGGGCACTGTTAAATATATCACACATCATATTATCTATTATAATCAACGACCTCACCAGCCAGGACTCAAACCCTCGACCTACTGTGTGGGACCAGGGGCAGCTACCGACCATGCCACAAAGACACTAAAAGCAGTTCTAGACTATGTTATATTTCACACAAAGCCTGTTCCTCGAGCTGATGGTCCGTGAACCTCTCATTGGGAACTGCTCGTGCCATTTATGTGGATGTCAGTAGCATTTTACCCAATCCAGCTGGTGGTTGATTATATGTTCAATGTCAGCGTGTTATATGGACTAAAATTAAGTATATATAGTACCTCGTGTTTCATACCAGCTGGATTGGGTAAAATGCTACTGACATCCACACAAATGGCATGGGCAGTTCAATGAGGTCCTGGCATCAGCTCATATATATATATATATATATAAAAATATATATATATATATATATATATATATATATATATATATATAATATATATATATATATATATATATATATATATATATATATATAATATAGAAAAAAAAGAAGAGAAAGAGAGAGAGATATACTGTACACCCACTTGGGAATAGAGAAAAGGCTGTAAATCACACACTGCCATCAACAAATCATGGAGTCGCCTTCTGCTCCATCTTTACTCTGTGAGGTTGTAATTCCTGGGCGTTGTCCTCTCTGCACAACAACAACTACACAGTCACACAGGGAGGGGGATATGTTCTCTAAATGTCCACAAATACAGTGAGACCTCCATATAATGGACTCCTACCTCCATATAATCCATTAGATGGAGGAAGTTTCTAACAGACCCTACATATAATGGACTACCGGTACCTCCATATAATGGACTCTCCCTCCCTACAGTCTTCTAAATACAGTAGAAGTTCAAAAATCAGACTGCTCAGGGAGTTAGATTGGGTCGGATTTCAGATTTTCTGGATTCTCAGGCAGTACTTTTAAAATTCAAATTTAGGAGAAATAAAGAAGTGATGAACAGAGTACATTTTGACCGATTTATTCATTAGCAAATATAGCATGCTTTATTTATCAAAACGAAGGCAGTTTAAGAAAAATAAAGTCAACACTTAACAAAATTTTAACAAACTTTTTCCCTACGAAAAAAAGAGCTGTCTGTCTTGAAATCATCTTTAAAATGAACATTGTAAAAAGAAAAAATACGCTAAACAAATGAAAGCAAATTTATTTTACAAATTGATATTTATTTGTGGTTATTAACGAAACATTTTCTATAAAATACAAAGTACAAACAACAAATAAACATTTGCTAGATTCAAATTTCACAAAACTACTATATCGTCTTAACTTGCTGCTTTGGATGGAACACTTGCAGCTTCTGCATCTGCTGCTGCTTGACACTGCTTTCTTTAAATACTTTCGTATATCACCTTGTTTACGACTTTATATTTCTTTGTGACAAGATTGACTTCTGCCATGTTTGTACTTGGCGTCTGAAGACTGAAGCTATGGTTCTGTTCCACAAATTTAATAACCGGTTCAATACTTGCCCTTTTCTGCAGCAGCCCAAGATATCTTTTCTTTAACTTTGTTGTCACAGATTCTTCTGAACAATTCTCTTCTCAGGAGTTGTAATACTTTGAATGATTTCTTGATCGGTAGAAAGTGGCTGCAACTTCAATATCATCATAATGTGTATCCGCTCTTCTATGTCAGCAGCATTAAGCTTTGCGTAGAGGTTGTCCTCAGAGAATAATTTAACTTGATCTCCATCAGTTCTTGCACTTCAAAATCTTTTGTCTTGATCACCTCAAGATCTGCAAACATCACTTTCAGCCACAACTTTGCCACACTCTTAAAAGTGTTTCAGGCTTGACTGCTTCCATGCATTCACAAATTAATGTGCATCCTTGATCGTGAAACTTTAGTTTGGTTCTGTAGGGTTGACATTCTTATTCATCATTTCGTCATAAAATCATTTTATAATGACATTTAAAGTTCCTAATGACTCCCTTGATCCATGGGTTGAATCAATGATGCTGCGTTTGGTGGCCAAGTAACATGCATAAATATTGTCACCAATCAGACACTAATTTTGATTCATGCAGGTAGGCCCTACAGTTGTCGAAGTAGCAGGCACTTTTGTATTTGCAGGCTTCCCCAATTTCCTTAAGTTCTGACAAACTGATGGAACAAATCATGAACAAACCAATCACGAAATATGTCTTTATCCATCAAAGCACTCCTGTTGGGCTGTATAAGGTCTGACAGTGCACCAGTTCGCTAAAGGCCCGTGGGCAAGAATTTGCCAATCACCAAAAGCAATTTTATACTTTGACCTGAAGCGATAGCATACAAAAACGGTTATATTTCCTTATTAAGCTTAAACCCTGTTGCATTTCGTTCTTGGTTTCCAGCCAAAAGTTTTTGGTAAACCTTTCCAGTAAACCCTGTTTCTATCAGCATTATAATTTGATCAGCTATTGAATCATAGTCATTTAATTTTTTCAAATACAGCACTATATTTTATTTAACAACGTGTATCGGCCATTTGTCTTTCTCCAACAATACCTCTAACTTGTCCAATACCATGTGACGAGTCTTGAAATTCCCTAAGCAGCTCCATCACTAAGTGCTCACTCTGATTCAATGTTCATTTGCTCAGCAAAAGACTTTGCTTTGGCAATAAAAGCATCGGCAGAAATTGCACTATATACCCAACTATAACTGAGTGTACCATCGTACGATATGTTTTCCCCATGTTGAGTGGGGGGCTTGTCCTTAGCAGCGCCGGTGACCAGTGTCCAGCTGACGCTTCTGTTATAATAAGAATCTATAGAAAAGCATGGTCTATGACTCCAACCTCTCACACCTTCTGATCGTTTAACAAAACAAATTCTTGAAGTACAACACTTTATCAAGACTTTCTAATTTAGTACGATGTAAACTTTTCTTTCATAATTTTATTGTAAGGCTCAAAAGAAGTTGTGAATTCTAGAGTTTTATTCTTTTGCCTTTTTATATCATAAATTGTTGACTTTTCAATGCCGTATGTTTCCATTAGAACAAAACAGTGCTCACCTAACGCGTTCTAGTTTCTTAATTATTTCAAGTTTGTCCTCGAATTTCAATGTGTTCTTCTTTCTCTTCACAACGAATTCTATCAACTTTAGGGCCATTGATATGGAAGCGTACTCTGTAAATGGAAGAGTAGGACTCAAAATTACATACGTTGTCACAGTTTGATTCTTGTTTTAAAGTGGCGATCGTGTGGTCGTTTGTTGTCTCTGTGCAGCTGTGGCATTCACGCATGCACACATACACCTAAAAGATTTATAGTGCCTCAAATTTTACATTTCAGTTCAAGCTAATTCTAAAAACAACAAAATTAGCTATAATTTACAGTGCTTTTATTATTAGAATTATGTAAATAATTTTTTTAAAGCTACTCCATTCATTCTTTAACCACAAAAAGCCCGCTAAATTTACAAGAAGTTTGAAATTTTTGAAAGTCCGGATTCTCAGTTGGTCCGGATATCTGGCATCGGATTTTTGGACCTTTACTGTAGAGGTTTTACTGTATCATGGTAACTTAATTTATATCTAAACTTAGAAACCTTAGTAGAGTATTTACTGGAATAATATCAATGAGTGGCCGATCTTTAGGAAAACTATTGACAATATTCACCAACCAATCACATGGACACAGCGACTATATTAAGTGTAGTGAATCAAGTTACTCCCAAGACAATATATTAAGGATCACATTACATTATGTCTAGTGAATATATTATTATTTATGCATTTGAATGGAAATTACTTGTTAGAGAGAGAGAGAGAGAGAGAGATACCTTTCTTCTGCAACATTCCTTGTTCTTTTCACTGTACAATGTACTTCACCTTGTGGAGTGAACTCAGAGCAATGTTTAGCCCACCACTCCTTGAGATGTATGATGATCTCCTTCTCCTCCTCTGTAGGAAACACAACAATGTTAAAGGGAGAAATGTTATTGACTTTAAGAGTCATGTTGTTTATTGAAATATTATTGACTTTAAGAGTCCTGTTGTTTATTGAAATATTATTGACCTTAAGAGTCCTGTTGTTTATTGAAATGTTATTGACTTTAAGAGTCATGTTGTTTATTGAAATATTATTGACTTTAAGAGTCCTGTTGTTTATTGAAATATTATTGACCTTAAGAGTCCTGTTGTTTATTGAAATGTTATTGACTTTAAGAGTCATGTTGTTTATTGAAATATTATTGACTTTAAGAGTCCTGTTGTTTATTGAAATATTAGAGACTTTAAGAGTCCTGTTGTTTATTGAAATATTATTGACCTTAAGAGTTCTGTTGTTTATTGAAATGTTATTGACTTTAAGAGTCATGTTGTTTATTGAAATATTATTGACTTTAAGAGTCCTGTTGTTTATTGAAATGTTATAGACTTTAAGAGTCCTGTTGTTTATTGAAATATTATTGACTTTAAGAGTCCTGTTGTTTATTGAAATATTATTGACCTTAAGAGTCCTGTTGTTTATTGAAATATTATAGACCTTAAGAGTCCTGTTGTTTATTGAAATATTATTGACTTTAAGAGTCCTGTTGTTTATTGAAATATTATAGACCTTAAGAGTCCTGTTCTTTATTGAAATATTATTGACTTTAAGAGTCATGTTGTTTATTGAAATATTATTGACTAAGAGTCCTGTTGTTTATTGAAATATTATAGACTTTAAGAGTCCTGTTGTTTATTGAAATATTATTGACTTTAAGAGTCATGTTGTTTATTGAAATATTATTGACTTTAAGAGTCATGTTGTTTATTGAAATATTATTGACTTTAAGAGTCCTGTTGTTTATTGAAATATTATAGACCTTAAGAGTCCTGTTGTTTATTGAAATATTATTGACTTTAAGAGTCATGTTGTTTATTGAAATATTATTGACGAAGAGTCCTGTTGTTTATTGAAATATTATTGACTTTAAGAGTCCTGTTGTTTATTGAAATATTATAGACCTTAAGAGTCCTGTTGTTTATTGAAATATTATTGACTTTAAGAGTCCTGTTGTTTATTGAAATATTATAGACCTTAAGAGTCCTGTTGTTTATTGAAATATTATTGACTTTAAGAGTCATGTTGTTTATTGAAAATATTATTGACTAAGAGTCCTGTTGTTTATTGAAATATTATAGACTTTAAGAGTCCTGTTGTTTATTGAAATATTATTGACTTTAAGAGTCATGTTGTTTATTGAAATATTATTGACTTTAAGAGTCATGTTGTTTATTGAAATATTATAGACTTTAAGAGTCCTGTTGTTTATTGAAATATTATAGACTTTAAGAGTCCTGTTGTTTATTGAAATATTATTGACTTTAAGAGTCCTGTTGTTTATTGAAATATTATAGACTTTGAGAGTCCTGTTGTTTATTGAAATATTATTGACTTTAAGAGTCATGTTGTTTATTGAAATATTATAGACTTTAAGAGTCCTGTTGTTTATTGAAATATTATTGACTTTAAGAGTCATGTTGTTTATTGAAATATTATAGACTTTAAGAGTCCTGTTGTTTATTGAAATATTATAGACTTTAAGAGTCCTGTTGTTTATTGAAATATTATTGACTTTAAGAGTCCTGTTGTTTATTGAAATATTATAGACTTTAAGAGTCCTGTTGTTTATTGAAATATTATTGACTTTAAGAGTCCTGTTGTTTATTGAAATATTATTGACTTTAAGAGTCCTGTTGTTTATTGAAATATTATAGACTTTAAGAGTCCTGTTGTTTATTGAAATATTATTGACTTTGAGAGTCCTGTTGTTTATTGAAATATTATTGACTTTAAGTGTCCTGTTGTTTATTGAAATATTATTGACTTTAAGAGTCCTGTTGTTTATTGAAATATTATTGACTTTAAGAGTCCTGTTGTTTATTGAAATATTATAGACTTTAAGAGTCCTGTTGTTTATTGAAATATTAGAGACTTTAAGAGTCATGTTGTTTATTGAAATATTATTGACTAAGAGTCCTGTTGTTTATTGAAATATTATTGACTTTGAGAGTCCTGTTGTTTATTGAAATATTATTGACTTTAAGAGTCCTGTTGTTTATTGAAATATTATTGACTTTAAGAGTCCTGTTGTTTATTGAAATATTATTGACTTTAAGAGTCCTGTTGTTTATTGAAATATTAGAGACTTTAAGAGTCCTTCACTATACATTTTAAGCGCTCCATCATCCTAATACATCACAAATATACAGCTGCACCTCGCTAATCTGAATTAACAGTGGGTCGGGGGGGGGGGATCTTATTACAACTATTAAAGAACAAATGTCTTCCTTAGAGAAATAATTGGTAAAATAAGTGATGGTAGGTAGTGTGAGAACAGTGATGGTGGGTAGTGTGGGGGAACAGTGATGGTAGGTAGTGTGGTAGGTAAACAGTGTGGTGGTAGTGTGGGGAACAGTGATGGTAAGGTAGTGTGATGGTAGCAGTGATGGTAGGTAGTGTGGGAACAGTGATGGTAGGTAGTGTGGTAGACAGTGGTAGGTAGTGTGGGGAACAGTGATGGTGGGTGTGTGGGAACAGTGATGGTGAGTAGGTAGTGTGGGGGAACAGTGATGGTGGGTGGTGTGGGAACAGTGATGGTAGGTAGTGTGGGGAACAGTGATGGTAGTAGTGTGACAGTGATGGTGGGTAGTGTGGGGAGTGGTAGTGTGGGGAACAGTGATGGTGGGTAGTGGTGGGGTGTGTGATGGTGGGTGGTGTGGGGAACAGTGATGGTGGGTAGTGTGGGAACAGTAGATGGTGGGTAACAGAGATGGTGGTGGGGAACAGTGATGGTGGGTAGTGTGGAACAGTGTGGGGAAACAGTGGTGGGGTGTGGGGACAGTGATGGTGGGTAGTGTGGGGAACAGACAGTGATGGTGGGTGGTGTGGGGGAACAGTGATGGTGGAGTGAGTGGTGGTAGGGGAACAGATGGTAGGTGGAGTGTGGGGGTAACAGTGATGGTGGGTGGTGTGGTGGAACAGGATGGTGGGTGGTGTGGGGAACAGTGATGGTGGGTAGGTGATGGTGGGTAGTGGGAACAGTGATGGTGGGTGGTGTGAGGAACAGTGATGGTGGGTGTGTGAACAGTGGTGGGTGGTGTGGGGAACAGTGATGGTGGGTAGTGTGGGGAACAGAGATGGTAGGTAGTGTGGGGAACAGAGATGGTGGGTAGTGTGAGGAACAGTGATGGTAGGTAGTGTGGGGAACAGTGATGGTGGGTAGTGTGGGGAACAGAGATGGTAGGTAGTGTGGGGAACAGAGATGGTGGGTAGTGTGAGGAACAGTGATGGTAGGTAGTGTGGGGAACAGTGATGGTGGGTAGTGTGGGGAACAGTGACATACCACACAGGAAAAAGTGAAGGGGCCAGGAACTGACACGTTGCTCCACACATTCAGCGGCGCTCACACACGTGATCTGGATTCAGCAACATCCTGATCATCTACGTTTGACTGTACATTATGTCATAAACTTACCCGTCAACACATAGTTCTCTTTGTCTGTCACGGCTACTAAGTCGTGGCCCACTGATGATGGGTATCTTGCTACTGATTTGGAGGAATATACTTTTCCATATGAGCGATGCTGATACAACTCCACCTGAAATGAATTTAAAAACAAAAATCTTCCTTCATTGGACAGCACAAATAGGGTAGAGGGGGTGTTAATTAGCATTTTTAAACACCACTGTAATATATATATATATATATGGATCACCTGTACACTAAGACTTATTTCACCTGATGATTAAACACCCTAATACTGTACCTTGGTCATAGAGCGTTTAGATAATTGTACACGAGCGAGAGAACTTTACAGAGAGGGTGTAGAGTACACCACCACTATACCATACTGTATGTATATTATGTACAGTGAGTTCTGCTATAACGCGTGTTTTGATAACGCGAATTCGCTCTAACGCGATTTCTGAATTCGGAACAATATTTGTATAACGCGAACGCTTGTTTGCTATAACGCGATTTTTGCTTACTATTTCTCCAATTTTGTGGTATTAACTGTGAATATGGCAAAGAAGAATATCTCCAAAAAGCGTTCTGATGATAGAATTCCCGGTGATGATCGTAAAAGAAAGGATATAACACTTGAAGAGAAGCTCGATGTTATCAACCTCAAAATCACCCTTCTCCCCCATCAAGTTACATTCATATTTTTTCAAGGTAAAGTGTTAAATTTACTGTATGATTTCATTATTAGATATGAATGTAACATTTATTTAGACTGTGCTATCCTTTGTGTTAGGCTAACTACTAAATTTTTTCGATTTCGAGTAATCTGCACCTAACCCTATTTTCTCCATAAGCCCTGTTATTTCTATTACGCGATTTTCTATAACACGATATTTTACAAGAACACAATTATCGCGTTATAGCAGAACTACCTGTATGCTGTATGTATATTATGTATGTGCTCCATTTATATACACTATTTATTCAGCCTAGCTAGCAGCGTGTGGCAATGTACTTACCATGTCCCACATGCTTAATTAATGTGCCTGGCGACATATGGGAGCTGTTAATGTATCACTTGCCACATGTTGCCTAGAGGCTAGTTGACCCCCATACAGAGTAAGGAGCGCCACCTTCCTTGTGTACCTTCGTTTATCCAATAAATAGAACCTACGAAAACTCTACAGGTGTTTGTGTTTGCTCCTGTAGATAGAACTTGATATACCCAGAACACATGCATGGCGCAGTGAACCGATTTTACTGGACCATTATACAATTGAAGTGTAAAGTTTGTGGCAAGACCGGCTTATGGACCCCTGCTCTGTGTCAACCATCGCTAATGGCCGTCTCTTCAAAGAATGTATAGCAACTTTGAGCAGTGTCAGTGACAGTGATTTTCTGTGAAGTGTATAGTGCATTGTGTGTTTAGTGCCATAACTGTGTGACCTTGTTTTAAAGGATTCCCAAGGTGAAAGGCATGTTCAGGGCATTTGTAAGGAGTAAAGTTTTTTGCATCCTCCCCCCGCCATGTCCAGAGGGTAACTGTGAGCCTCCACCCCCTCACAGCGAGACTGCCCGAGACGCGCACACACACACACGTACGAACACACTGACTGCGGCCATTCCTTTATACAGTGACCCCTCGGTTAACGAACTCAATCCGTTTCCAGAAGGTCGTTCGTTAACCGAAAAGTTCGTTAACCGAAACCATTGTTTCAATGGGTTTTTGAGTAGTGGTTCCAGCTCACCGAAAATTTCCTAAATTCAACAAAAATGGTAGAAAAGTTCACTTACTTTGAGTGTGTATGTAGAAGGCTCCTGGATGATGATGATGGGAATTAGAATGGGGGTGGAGGAGAAGGAAGAAGAGAAGGCATTGGGGTGGAAGAGAAGTCACCCCATGGCACCATTTCACCCATAAAATTTTAGTTCTCTTGGTGTAAGTCAAGATTATTTTCTTTAAATCAACACTGCACTGCATTATATATTGTCAATATGTAAAATATATTTCAAAATGACCAATAATTTGCTTGGAATCACAGAAAAAAAGCGTTTAGTTGAAGAGTCTCAAGCAAGATGTTACCTCCAGTGAAAACAGAGAGAGACTAACGCCTGTTTGCTGTGTTAAGAGGCTGGATGCCGCGCATTAAACTAGTCACTTTACCTTCAATTATGTTCAATAATTGTTAAAATGACTAAAAAATTGAATATTAAACTTTTAAAATTATTGAATAGTATAAACTTCTTGATATTTACTAAAATAGTTAGGAATTTAAGCCCTAGAACCGATTAATGTATTGGCGGACTGATACTAAAGCTGGTTGCCCGGCCAGTGCAAGCAAAAACATGTTGAGGTCGGTTCGTAAGAAATTCGTTAACCGAATTTTTGTTCGTTAACCGAATTGAAGATCCATATGGAAGGCAGTTCGTTAACCGAAATTTCGTTAACCGAGGCGTTCGTTAAACGAGGGGTCACTGTATATAGTTTATATATATATAATCTACTTATCTGTGCATTTAATTAATTTTTTGTCTCAGATCTTGTTGATACGACAGGCTGACCGGTCAACACTAATTTAAGACACAGTACACAGATTAAGTTATTATGTCTCGTGTCTTACGCAGTCGTGGAGCCACCACCTGGATGAGTCAGTAGGATGACATCTCGGTAGAGATGGATGACCAGGCTGAACAGGACGCTCCAGCTCCCACCACATTGCGCAGCCCATCACCTCGATCTTCAGCGTTGCCTCCAGAGATAATTGCTTTAATGAAGTTCATGAGCGATGAAAGGCGCGAGGACGAAGCTAACAGACTTGTGGAGAATGAAAAAAGAAGGCAAGCAGAGGCAGAGAGAGACCCTCCCCCAATTTACACAATAACCTACAGTACATCTCAGACAAGGTGCAGACCTGACCTCAAATTAGCCAGGTCAAATGTAAGGGTTAACGTCCGACCGAAAAATGTCCGTTAGCATATCGTCCGTTACTTTACCCCCCAAAAAAATAAATATAAATAAAAAAAATAATAATAATAAATAAATCACGTGGCCTGCTGGACCACTGCTTCCACGACCCCTGGCGGAACACGATGTCCTCCCCTTTGAGGATGTGTTAAGAAATATGCTTCCTATCGTAGGCTATTTTTTTGTGTTGCCTCCAGGTGAAATGTTAACCTACATCTATTGAGGATAAAATCTTTCACCTACAAATTGACAATAACACATTTGCACAGCAATCAGACATATCTAGTTGCCTCAACAATTTGCAACCCCAGTTGCAATTGGGGTTCTGTGAGCCCAGAAATTCTGTGGCATTACTAAGTACTGGCATAGTGAAGAGTCTCTGGTGCACTCTAAGATTAAGAGAGAAAGCCGAGACCAGGTGTCTGATGTGAGGAGAAAATGGACTCTTATGATGGGACCAAATAAAAAAAGCATAGCTTCATGTTTGTGGACTACCCCACTTTACAGTACCCTTTTCATCACTTTGTAATAAACCTAGCCATGCCTATGTTAATGTTTATGATATTTACCATAACATTATATATATATTTAGTGGGTATAAATGGTGCGTAAAATGGGAAACTTGGGGTTGGGTCTTGGGTGCCTGGAATCAATTATAATAAACCCCATAAGTTCTGAACTTTACGTTGTGGCGGGGGTCCCAGTGCGGCGCTATAACCCAGGGATGACTGTACTGCACTGTATACTTGTGACACTGGCCAGTTGCTTCTGATTATTTATGGTACAGGGGTACCAAGTGACAGCACTAGGATCCGCTTCCTCTATCAAGGAATAAACAATTAAAATTTAAATTTAAAAAACATTCAAATAATGGGACCTAGCGAACCTAAATGGCCCTAGGCGGGCAGAGTCATGCTTGTATGCATCGCGTATTCTTATAGATTGTACTGCCAAGTAGTATATTTATCTAGTGAATTTAGTCAATATTGTATAGTAACAATGGACCTAAGTGCAAACCTGTATTGTACATGTACTAAATGATTCACCCGGTACTAAAAATTGTTATGTCTATTACCAGAAATAAACTGTTTATATACAGGTATTCAAATAAATTACTATCTTACAGAATCCCTCAATATAAGTTATATTCACCCAGGTCGTTTGGTGGCATATTATGAAGAGCTTAGCCTCTTAGTAATGATAAATAACGCCAAACAGGCCTTCAGCGCCAACTGCTCAAATCTTTATCTCAAATAAATAAACAAACAAA